TACATGATGCCCTAAAGTGAAATAATCCCATTGCCATTGTTGAGTAAGCTCTTGTTGCACTTTGTCTGCATCAGTCTCTGTGTACAGAAAATCAGCTTTAGTTTTCTGAGGAATCACTAGCAATCTCAAAGCAGTAACTGCTCAATGTTCTCTTTGGGAACTTCCTGTTTTTAATATTGATCTGAAGAGCATTATGGGTTAGGCTTTGGACAGTTCAGATGGCTCATATGCCCTGCTCTGTATAATCAAAAATGACTTACTAGAGTAACAGCAAAATGCTAAGGTGACAAGCAGAGGGGGCAACTGTCAGCATCATGGCTGAGCTGGTTGTTTTATTCTGTATTGAGTCTAAAACTGTCCAATGTCCAATGCCCTCTCTTTAGAGTACTCCTGGATATATGCTGGGCAGCCTACCTGTGTTCATCCCAGTGTCCTCTATGGCCGTGAGTGTGACATATTTGCCCAGCTAAGCTGCAAATATCCTTCCCTCTTCTTATGCTATTATTGCAATGCCCATTTTGGTCCACAGCCCAGTGATGTCAATGGAAGCTTTTCCATGGCCTTCTCTGGGCTTTGGCTCAGGCCTTTATTGAGATGGCCAACCAGAGGGTGCTGCAGGCAAGAGCCGAGCTCGCCAGCTGCTTTTATGCTTTTTTGAAAATATTTCCACTGGAAATTTTACTGAGCCCCTTTCTCAGGAAACAAATGGAGAAAGGGAAACTGGAAAGAACAACACAAGCAGTAAAGGGAGCTGGCCATGCAAGACACGGCCGTGAAGTAAGTCAAGGCAGTGTGAGCTAGGAAGGGGGTACAGCTACCATTCTAACATTGCTGCTTGGTCTGATCAACATTCTGGTTCTCGCTCATCCAAACAAATAGCAAGGAAAGAATAACACCAATAGCAGCTGGTTCAGGATTCCCACTTTGTGGTGTCCGGGGCCTCTCTGCAAAGCCACACAGAGGCGCAGGTAGTCATGGACACTATTCCCCCCCGGAACTGAATAGAGTCCCACCAAACTCTCTGCATAGGCCACCAAAATGGTGGCAGGCCCTGGAAGTGTTGGCTTTAGAAAATCAAGCTGTGTGCAGCTTGGCTTGGGGGTGACTAGGGTGGGGCACGTATGATAACAGTCCACAAATATTTGAAGGGTGGAAACAGCACACGGGAAGGGAACCACTTCATTTGGTATGAAGGGAGGGGGAAATTTCACTTAAATATCAGGAAAAATTGGCAGTGAGATGTATTAGGTGGCAGAAGCGACTCCCAAGGGAATAGCAGAAGCCACGTTACCTGGGGGTGTTTTTTTGGAAAACGGGACTGCACAAAGCATTAGCAACTGTACAAGAGGAAACAATCGTGCATTGATCCCCCAGCAGGCGGAGTGGGTGACTTAGCATGCCTTTCTGTCTCTAACGTCTATGGCTCCATTATTCCATTCAGTGGTGGGAGAAGTATTGAAAGAAGAAACGGCTGCCTGTCTAAGGCCCTGGATTCCATTCTCCAATCCAGCGTGTTACACAATAAACTGCGAGGTATAAGATTTTGACAGAAGCGATGACAAAACCGGAGCTACAGCAATGTAAGCAACACAGCATTGATGGGAAATCACTTCACTTTCTGACACTGTCTATCCCACACAGTGGCACGGGCCAAACTAGGGGACAGGTGAAAACAGCTGCCAAAGGAAACAAAGGCTGCTCAGGCACTTCAACAAAGCCGGCCCAAAGGTGCAAGCACGGGAGACTGCAGCGCCACTGACATTTCCTCCTGCCAGCAGCAATCCAGCGGGGGTAGTTTTGCATATTTATCTCTTAGGACAGTTGCGTGAAGATTGTATTTATTGTGCCCTTCTTTTCCTTTATTTCCTCTGAGTGGCTTGAACTGGTGCCACCACCTGAACCCATTACATCTGGGATCGTCCTGATTTTGTGGGTCTGGTTCCGCGTCTGGCTAAACGCACTGGAAAGGGTGAAAGGGGGTCCAGGATAACTTTTGGGGCCCTTGCAACAAGGCAAAACAACATTGTGAGCCCTGGCATCATGATACTACTTTGTCCTACAGGAGAAACTCTCCAAAGAAGGCAGCCCCACTGCCCCTACAGGGGCCTTGCCTGTAGCGGGGAGGAACACGGGTTGCAGGATAGAAGAGGAGGTATCGGGAAGTCAGTCTGTTTGCACAAGGCTTGAGTTGCAAATAACTCTCTTAATACAGAGGTAGTGTAGGTTTAGAGGCATGGAGTCCTCTCAGGTTATTATCCAGCATGCAGGATGCTGCCCACACATTGTGGGGTTTCACTGGATAAATGCAAACAGGTGGTTGGTCACTTGCACAGAATATATCAGATCATAGTAGATACAGGTAGAAAAGGTCTGTTAGGTCACCTAGTTCTGCATTTGTATTGCCATAGAACAGTTACCCAATAAAAGAAGTAGAGTGATGGTTAGACATCATTATTTCTGGTTATGGTTGACTACAGAGTTCTGCCCACAAGAGCGAGACAGAGGATCACTGGGAATCAGTCCTGACCTGCAGACCCTATCTGCTATTCCACCCTCCCTTGTCTGCCAAGGCCCCTCACTCCTGATCCACAGCAAACACGGCTATTCTAGTCTTGTGCTTCCCCACCACACTCTGCTGAGGCAGCTCAGATCTGATCTGCAGCATCTCCTCCTGTTACATCCATGGGGTCTCATTAAGGTGGGGTCAGGGACTCCAGAGCTGAATACTCCTCCTGAATTGTGGAGAGGCTTGTGGATCTTGATCCAGAGCTGAAGTTTCTGATTCATACCCACTTGTGGCGAGAACCTGTGTGTCATTCTCCCCATGTCACCTTATGGACACAGAGGATTGGCCTCGCATGCCAGCTTAGTTCAAGCTGCCACAGTCATTTCACTGAGGCTAGAACTAAGGCTAGATTTAGCTGAGGGAAGGATTGTTTGTAAATCAGATGCTGCTCTGTGGATGATTTTCTATACCTTGATACCATAAAGATGTGAGAGCCTAATAAGCCAAAATTAAACATTGTGACAGGGTCAGGCCAGATGGCTACAAGAGAGTGGTCGAAGGTAGATACATTAGTTCCCGGTTAAGCAGGTCTCTTTTCCCTGGGTAAGATAACAGAGACTATTCCAGAACACTCAGGAACTTTCTAGAACTAATTAAAGCAGGCAGGCTAATTAGGACTCCTGTAGCCAACTGGGAAGCTGCTAGAACTAATTAAGGCTAATCAGGACACTGGCTTTAAAAAGGCTGTCACTCCAGTTAGTGAGGTGTGTGCATAAGGAGCTGGGAGTGAGAGGACGTGATGCTGGAGGACCGAGGAGTACAAGTGTTAACAGACATCAAGAGGAAGGTCCTGTGGTGAGGACAAAGAAGGTGTTGGGAGGAGGCCAAGGGGAAGTAGCCCAGGGAGTTGTAGCTGTTGTGCAGCTTTTCCAGGAGGCACTCTGGACAGCTGCCGTCCACAGGGCCCTGGGCTGGAACCCGGGGTAGAGGGCGAGCCAGGGTTCCCCTCCAAACTTCCCAACACAGGAGCTTCCACCAGAGGTGAAGGTCTCTGAGCTGGTCCCTGACCCACATGGTGGATCAGCAGAAACTGTGGGGATTCTTCTTACTCTTTTTTTCCCCATGCTGGCCAGTGATGAGGTTATCTGAGTGAACGGCAGATTTGAGCCACGAAAGTGGCCAAACTGAGGGCTGCCGTGAATCTCTGAGGCGAGCAAAATCCACCAATAAGCACAGGACCCACCAAGGTAGAGGAGGAATTTTGTCACACTGAGAAACTATTCGGCAGAATGATTTGTGTAAGTACTATACTTACTCAAATGGCTTTATCTTCTGTTTCAAGTCAGAGGTATTACGGTCAGAAACCCTTTTCATACCCAGTGCTTAGAACGCAGTCCCAGAGGAGGCGTGCACCAGGATCCAGTGTCTGTGCCTGTTGGTTTCTTTAGAGAAACCAGTTTGTTCTGTGGCTGTCAGACCGGACTCTCTGCTTGTTGTTGAAAAACAAGTGATGTAGCCAATGCAGGTAGGGGGTGAGGAATCGGTGTGTGTTTGTGGCTGGAGTATGGTGGAGAGAAACGTCATTAGAGCTGGCTTATTAAAACAAGCTTAAGGGCTACTGATTAGAGTTGAGGGGCTAACCTGTGTGAGAGCTGAGTGACAGGGCCATAAAGAGATGCTGGATAAGCTGGTCCCTCAGGGATGGATCATGTATTTCTTCCAGGCAGGGGCTGTATGCCTTTTGTGTGCGTACACCTATAGCAGCATCCCTGCAGGGCCCTCCTGGCTTCTGCCCCTGCTGGGCTGAGAAAGTCACACAGAGACCTTTAGGTGCAGTGCCCACCTGGAGCTTTTATTTACCCCACCACCTTTCCACCAGACAAGTAATCCCCTTCTTGCAGTCCACCGGCAGGAGAGAGGGGGCAAGCAATCTCTCTCTGCTTCCCCTCACTGCCTTTCCTCTATTGCAGCTCCCCCTCCCACCCTGGCTTCTTCCCCGGGGGCTCTTATCCAGCCCCAGCCTGATGAGGCAGCAGCAGGTGGTCTACCCAGCTCCAATTCACCTCCCTTAATTGGAGCTGGAGTGACAGAGGGTTGGTCTGTCACAACACCAAAGGGCACAGAGTTGATGCTCAACAAATCAACAATCGGAGGTGAGGTGAGCACTAAATGATAGATTGTGTTGTGAGCTATAAAGATACCACAGTGATGGGCACAGCATTAGAGAAAGAGCGAGAGACAGTGACAGTCCTATGAACTGGCAGAGCCACAAAGAGGCTGCATTGGGCCAAAGCTTGGCAATTGCCTTTGGGGGTCAGCTAATTTTTGTACCCCATAATATTTTGCCCAGTCCATTTCCATTCCCTGACCCAGCAGTTCTGCCTGTGTTATTTCCACTCCCCATCTCCCTATCAGGTTTGGTTGGCTTTCCAGGCAGTAAGCAACCTGCTTTCATCCAGCAATCTCCCCAGCTGGCTGGCTGGCTGCCAGAGCCTTTTCTGCCATGGCTGTGTCTGCCTGCGCAGGGAGAACGTAGCTGGCTCAGCTGATCTGACTCTCAAGGGGACTCTCTCTCTCTGTCCCTGTCACTGTTGCCAACAGCTTGGGGAGAGCATGACCATGACCGAGAGGAGCTGGGCCCTGCTCAGCAACACGCGCACACAGCTGAGTGGGCTGGTCCCTCCTGCCCGTGCAGCACACAGCCAGTTTATCATTAACTTCCACAGAGGCAGCCTAAGCAGCAGCAGCCGCCACAGCCTGCGCCAGGTGAAGCTCCCAGAGGCCAATTCCTGACTCACTGGCAGGTAAGAATGACAAACTCTGAAATGACCCTTGCTTTGCTGCCACTGGAGTTATGTGCAGACAGGTGGTGAGGCCCTGAAAACGTGTGTGGTGCGTTAGCAGAGTGCGGAGGATCTGGCCTCTGCTCAGCAGCTGCTGTCTCCTGCGCAGGAGGGTTGCGTATCCAAGTTGGAGATTATGTACTTTCCAAGGCCTGCCTGTCTCCTTCTGGCACAAGAGCAGGTGCCTATGGGAGAGGGAGGAATGCAGGCACCTGAGAGGAGGGCCTGAGTCTCTGGTTTAGAGCCAGACAATCTGTGTCACCACCGCTGAGTCATACCAGCAGCAATGATAACACTTTGAGTTTCTACAGCAGCTTTCACCAAAGCGACATGCAGGTGGCTCAATAATGTGTTATCCCCACTTGACAGATCAGGAAACTGAGGCACAGAGCAGCGAAGTGACTTGCCCAAAGTCAAACAGCTGGTCAGTGGCGGAGCTGGAAATGTCTCTTGACTCTCAGTCTCCTGCTTTAACCACTAGGTGGGCTGGCTGCCCATGAGATTAAACAAGGACAGGCTCTGGTAAGAGGCGTGTCAAAGCTACACACTCCGGTTTATTCCCGAGACAAAGCTGTGATTTTTAAAGGCATTCTCACTCAGACCATTGATTGGCAGCTGTCAGTCAGGCTTTTGTAGCCCAGTTAGAAATATTTCTCACCTGATCCATTCATTCTGCCCCCTTCCTAGATTAAGAAGCTGCAGGGTACTGTGTTCGAGTCACAATTTCACTTCTTTCCCTCGTTTTTGGCTGGGGCCCTAGAAGCAGGTTTTCGTGTTTAAGTTCGGGGAGGGAGTTTCCACAGATCTGGAAGAAGTCCTAGCAAGAATGAGCTGAGCTAATCAATCCCTCCTGCAGGCTGCATTTCCCCCCGGACAGCAACATGCAGAACTGGGACCTCTGGAAATGAAAGATGTCCAGAGGAGATGTCCGATCCCAATGGAATATTCTTTAGGGAGTTGTCCAGTCACTTTTGAATGATTCCAGGGAGGGGCCTTAATAGGTTATAGTGCGGGTGCTTATGTGGGTACGGTTGGGATCATTATGGTTTGCTGAGCAGTGACAATGCACTCAGTGACATGGATTACTCCCGGAGTCCCCTGCTTGGAGTGACTGGGATTGCCATCTCTTGGAGCTTGTAAGAGAACACTGGAGAAGGCACTGAAAGGGCGTGGCAGGGCACAGCTCTTCATTGGCAGGGGGATGGACTGGGTGAGCTGCTATGGTAAAATTCTGGGACCCTGTGCTAAGTGCTTTCCAGACATACAAGCAGCGTCAGTCTCTGCTGAAGGAAGCTTCCAGCGAGAGACCGTTCAGACTTGTCTGATGCACAGGTGATGACAGCAGCCTGAGGTGGTGCAGGAATCTGAGTCTCAGAGCTGGGAGACTCTGTGGGAGAAGTGTAATTAAGGCAGGGTAGGAGGAAGAGTAAGGGTGTATGGGCGGATGGAGACAGCTCCAAGCTTGCAGAGTGCTGGAGAGCCAGGTAGTTGGGAGGCCAGGTATGGCAGCTACTGCTCCGGTTGAAAATTCTACCACCATGCACAGTGCACTGGAGTGAGATTCACCCATAGAATATAGTAGCAGTAAATCACTCCAGGGCATGGCCACAGGGTCGAATATCACAATGTTCCCCCTGCCACAGACACTGCCCTCCCTGAGGGTAATGATATTCCGGTGGTATCGACCCACGTGTGATATGCCGATGTTATCCCTGAGAGCTTGCCTGGCACTGGCTGAGTCTGGCAGATGCTTCTGTGACTGGACACTGGTGTGAATGAGAACATGTGCAAGGGCTCTCAATCGTCATGAAAGAAAATCCCAGAAGTATAGTGCTGCAAAACTGGCCATGTCGGTTAAGTGTGGGGCGGCTACCTTCTCCTAAAGTAGCACATACAGACAGATATAGATGGGCCGTTCCCTACTGAAACTCTGCCACTCATAAGAGTTGTGGAAACATCTGAAACACTAGGTGCTACAGAGAGTGAGGCAGTGCAATCCCATGAGTAGGCTGTAAACCAGCTCAGAATTCTAGTCCAGTGTCTGTAGAACCTCTCTTTTGATCAATACCTCCGGGCAAGAAGAGCATAGATGTTAGCATCACTGCTGACTGATGGGCTCTGGGGAGCAGAGGAGAGAGGTAAGCCAGTCCGCAGCAGGACTGGACAACCAAACATCTCCCATTTGTTGGAGAGCGCACACCAGAGGGCTTTTCTGAGAGCTGGACTTTCCTGGGGGAGGCTGCCACATAGAAATACTGTCTCAAAGCTACGGATGGAGAAAGCTCTGTGTTGTACTAGCTTAATCCTTAAACCTCTAGCATTTTCCAGGCTGCCCTTCCAGGGGGATGCACAGGAGGATGTGTTTATGTGCCCGTAGTCCACAAAGGGTGATTAATAATTGAGATGAGGATGATATTTGCACCCCAAGATCTCAAAGCTCTTTATAAAGGGGGATTAGTAGTATTATCTTCATTTTATTGATGGGGAAACTGAGTCACAGTGTGGCAGAGTGACTCACCTGAGGTCACACAGTGAGTCAGTAGCAGAAGCAGGAATAAAACAAGCTCAGGAGGTTAAATTATTTATCTGGGTGTGAGGGTGAGGCAGGCAGATCAGAGAAGAGCAGCGAGCGATGACTATGAGTGAGGCTAACATGGGACCAAACACCCACTAGTATATTGCACCCCAAAGCAGGATACTCCTCTCCCGCCCCCCCATAGGTGCTGGAACTAAGGGTGCGGGGGATGCTGCAGTGCTCCCTGGCTCTAAGTGGTTTTCATTATATAGAAGGTTTACACTCTGGTTCAATGCCTCTCAGCACCCCCACTATACAAATTGTTCCAGCAGCCCTGCCCACCACTGGACCAGTTCAGTTTTAGGGATCATCATATTTAGGGTGAGGTGGTAATTCAGCCCCTGAGCAGGCTGGTGAGGACCTTGGTGCAGGAGGGGCTGGTTTCACGTTCCTTTGGAGCCCCGAGCAGGGATCAGCTTATTAGAATCAGGCAGGTTAATCGCCTGGGGTCCCTGTGGGCGCTTGGGGCATCGGTGAACCTGTTTCCTCTGGTGTTTCTATTCCTGTGGCAGCTGTGCTGCAGGGAGAGACTGGCAAGGGGAAAGATGTTGAAACCTGGTTAGACAGATGAGCTCAAGCAACAAACTGCACCCAAACCTTAGGGAGCATGCCTGAGACACCAGTATGCATCCGATGAAGTGAGCTGTAGCTCACGAAAGCTCATGCTCAAATAAATTGCTTAGTCTCTAAGGTGCCACAAGTACTCCTTTTCTTTTTGCGAATACAGACTAACACGGCTGCTACTCTGAAACCTGAGACACCAGTGAGATACACAAGATAAAATGCGCCCTTGAAAACTGGTGGGATGAAAAGAGTGTGGCGCTAGTAATCATTCAAGTTTAACTCCTGGTCTTTTCCCTTCCAAATACAGGCTTTGAGCAAAGGCAGAATTCTTTTAAAGCAATTGAGTGGGATTTTAAGTGGCAACAAACTATCTAAATAATTTCGCTTTGGAGCTACTATCGGTTGGGTGGTTTGAGAGCACACCCAATAAGAGCATTACATTTCAGTAGCAATTTCAGTTTCTACTGCACCTCTCTTCTCCTGCCAGCACATCTGCACCCGGCCCTAATTTTTCACTTCAGCCTCCTATTTTGCATCACCTAGCACGCATCTCTCCCTTTGGGGCCAGTGCTTTAATTATTGCTTCAGAAGCCTTAGGTATTTTCGTGAAGCTAAGCTGCAGATTGGAGCTGACGCAGATTGGAGCTGTTTATCCCATTCCAGGCTTCCCGCCCTGTAGTGATTTTGAGTATATTGCTTTGCCAGTTCCAGTGCTGTGTCTTCCCCCCTTTAGTTCAAAATGAGCAACATACAGAATCCAGGATGGAAACTATGTGAGTTAACTCCATTTATTCCTGTTCTCTGCAGGCAGGGAGGAACTCAGATAGGCACATTCTAATGTGAAAGGAGTGCAAGTTCCTGATAACGCTCCTCCTCCTTCTAATATCTATAACAAATGAAAGTTTAGCTTTTTTTAAACTCACTCCCCCTACTACACATGCCTGTCTGAGAGCCTGATCCCAAGTCAATGGAAATAGAGCTGGGAGGGATTTTTTGACTGAAAATTTTTGGGCAAAAAATGTTAATTCTGTGACACTGAACATTTCACAAATTCATGTCAAATTCCTTGTTTTGGTCAGAATAAAACTTAAAACAAATAATTCAGGAAAAATCAAAAAAGTTTCAAAAGTGTCTAAATGAAACACCTTGATTTTTCAATTCAACAGGATTTTTCATTTTGAAATTTCCTTTAATTTTATTTTGAAACATTAAAAATATTAAAATAAAAAATATGCTGTAAATGTTTTGCTGACCCAAAACTCCGCACCCCGCAACTTTTAGATTTGCTGAAATTTTTTTTAAAATTAGTTTTCCATTTAACCCAAAACATATTTTCCCCTGATTTTTCAGAATTGTCAGCAAACCAAAAAATCTGCCCATTTCTAAATGGCAAGACTCCCCCTGGACTTTGAGTAAAGCTCTTGAGCTGCAGGCAGTATTCCAAATGGTTAGAGTTAAAGTGAAGTTGGAAACAGTACAAAGAATCCCAGTCCAAAAGGAACATGCAGAAAAGAAGCAAAGAGTAAAAGAAGCACCATTATCTAACACTCATTGAATGGAATAGCCCGAGGTCCCTGTACTTTGGATTTCTGGGCCCAGGTTTTCAGGCAGCTTAGGTGCTCATTTGCAATTGAAAATCTAATTTTTTCACACACATCTACTGCAATTGCACATGCAGGTCAGATAACTATGCCTGCACATGTAGCTAATTATCTGTTTGAAGGTGCATCTACCCAATCCATGCATGCAGCCACTGTAATTGTGCCCATAAATCTGGTGAATACCTTCCGGCATATTTTGTGTCTAACCTAATTGAAAATCCAACCCTTGGGGTCAGTGAAATCAGCGCTTTATGGCTATGTACAGCTTACTCTCAAGCCTGTTTTATTTCTCCGTCCTGCACTCACTATGTGGGGCTGGAATAATGTTTTTCAGTTTTCTCCTGTTCTTGCTGCAAAGCCAAACCCTAAAGTGTAACTTTTTTAATCCCTGAATTGTAATCGGTTATTGTTATCGTGCCAACGCCTGAGCATCAATATCTCTTCACTGGACTGAGACAGCACTGACTGAGATCCCCACATTTATTGCCCATGGGCCACAAAACAGCCATTGAGTGATAATGACTTTGGGTTGCTACCAGTTTTGGCTGGATGAAAAATGGAGACCTAGTGGCAAAAGGTGACTCAGTAACACTGAATCAAAACATCTGCCTTTATTATAGTCCTGCATAAAGCTGCTGAGATGAGTCAATTGCAGAATTGCTCTAAACTGAGCTCTCTGCCTCTCTCAGAGCCTGCTGCTGACATGGCGAGCTCCAGCTCAGATGAGCCGTCTGCTAAGGAGACACCAGGAGCTGAGTGCCCCATATATGAAGAGGTGATATGCCTTGACAGAGCAGAGCAGAACCAAAGACTGGCAGTGGAAGAGCTGATCAAGACAGAGGCCAGTTATGTTCACACCATTGAGCTGTGTGTGTGTGACATTCGGGTCCACCTACGGCAAAAGCAGGTGAGAGCTAGACTAAAATCTCCCAATGGAGATGTCAGTCACAACGTGGGGTATGTTCTGTTGTTGTCAGATTGAAATGGGAGCTACTGTGTTTCCCCTTGGTATGAGCCAAGCCTGTTCCACTGTACAATGGAAGGGCTCTTTTAACCAGCCTCTTCCACAGGAGAGAAGGTGGGGAGGGGTCTAACCAGTCCTGGAAGATTGACATCCAAGCCCAAAAGTGAAGCTTCTTAAATTCACGGAGGCAGAACCCTCCACCAGCTCCTCAAAGAGTGACCGTTACCCTGGAGGAGTTTTGCCCCATAGAATTACCTGTGACATGAGGCGACAGATCTTCAAAAATAGCCACTGAACTTGCACCTTCTTACCCATTGAGATTTTCATGTCTGCTTTCAAATGCACAAACATCCAGAGTGGGGCACGCAAAGTGCATTTGTACAAGTGAACTGAGGACATGCAGTGCAGTTTGAATGCCTAGCTCTGAACTTCTGCAGGGGTACAACTAGATGTGGAAACCTGTGCATGCAGCTGGAGCTGGTCAAAATATTATAAACAAAACGTTTCCCTTGACAAATGCCATTTCATTGACACTAGAATCTTTTTTTCAGTGCGTGGTGGGTGGGAAGGAAAGAAAATATGAAAGACTGACTCTGATTCTATGGGAGTGTTTAGGATGCTGGTCTAGGATGTAGGAGACCCAGGTTCAAGTCCCTGGTTTCTATCAGGCCAGGCTATAGAGAGCCAGAGTGTCTCACTCTGTTAAACTTCCAGAGGTCTCATTTACATTCTCCATTGAAATGGTTTTTTTGTTTTTTTTTCTTTCATTTGTTGTCCCCCCTAATCTTTTGACACCTGGGTGCAGAGGCTCCTCCCCTTTGGCTGGGGGCGGGGCAGCTTTAGATGTGGGCGGGCCTGGGCCTCCCCATCCCCAGAGCCTCCAAAGGTGGAATGTTACCACATTTCGATACCTCTAAATGTTTTGTGAAGTGGAATTGTTTTCCAGCCAGCTCCATGTGCAACTTCTGAGGATGGCTTGAAGGATGCACATGCTGCTGCCCGGAGGCTGGTGTCTAGTGTGGGACTGAATTCATTCTGATTGCTTGTGGCTTCCTTGTGCCTTTCAGCTGCCTGACATAGACCTGGAAGGGCTTTTCTCTAACATAGATGACGTCCTCTGTGTCTCCAAACGTTTCCTGAAAGGGCTGGAAGCAACAGTGAACCAGGAGCCTGAGCAGCTGCTTCTGATCAGTAAGTGTGAAGGTGGCAGCGAGCAAGGCTCTGTGTGCCAGGCTGACACTGAACTGATACCGCTGATGCCTGGCAGCAGCAGGGGAAAAGGGGCCTGCTTCACCTTAACAGCCATCACCCTTGTCTTCCTCGGCACTCTTGATATCCAAACATGTACCGTGGCAAAGCTGTCTGCGGATCTGGCAGACCCAGCCAGCCTCATGCCCATGGGCAGCAATCCAGGGCAGCCTGAGTTGTACTCATGTCCTGCTTCTCCCAGGAATCCAGAGCCTGAGGGTGAGGAATTGTTGGGTCTTGTGTGTTAATCTCAGCAGATTGCACAGAGCTAGTGAAATAATCACTGACAGCCTAACCCTGCAGGATACATGCTGCATGAGGCACGGGATCGGACCTGCCCATGGAAGGGTTGGGGCACATCAGAGTCAGGTTAGGATAGGGTGTCTGAGGGGCAGTGTTGCCCATTGCTGGGCTACATTTGGCTGGGGCAAGGCCTGGTCTTGTTTGCTCTCATCTCCTCATGTTCCCTGTTCCCCAGTTTCCAGCAGGGTGGAGAGGAGCCTCCTGTGACTTTGAACGTCTCTTACTCATCTAGTGGGGAGAGTGGAGACCTCAATCTCTGCACTAACCTTCAAAGTCTTCCTCCACACTGTCCCCTGCCAGTGTTCCTCAGCCGCAGCTTGGAGGTATCTCCCTCAAGGGTGCCTCGCTGCCATATCCATTCAGTTCTTGGTGTCTCTTTGACCTGCTGGCCAGAAGGCTAATGATAGTGCTGGCACTGTGTGCGCTGAGGACGCCCCTCCCTGGGGAATGGAGCTGGCTCCCCAGCGTGACTCTGTCTGGTAACTTTGCTGCCCAGGTGCCTTGTTCCAGGAGTTCAAAGAGGAGATGGAGAGCATCTATAAGGTTTACTGTGCCTGCTATGAGCAAGCCCTTCTGCTGGTGGAGAGTTACAAGAAGGACCCGAGGTTGCAGCAGCAGATTGTGGAGACCCTGAATACGATGGTGTAAGTGCTGTATCTGTTCCCCAGCTCTCTTGGTGAAGCTAACTATGCTTTGGCCTGAATGGCACTCTTTATCCAGGATGGACTGGGCATGCCTTGGAAGCACATTCAGTTTACACAGCTGGCTGGACTAGCTGGATGTCCCTGTCCTCCTGACCAGAGAAGCTGCTGCTGGGGGCACATGTCCTCAGTCAGCTGGCTGGATCATGCACCCTGAAACAGGGGTTGGTAACCATCTTTACACCGCAACCTCCTTCAGCCCTCTGGCAAAATTATGCATCTCTGTGTCCCAGAATCCTCTGGTCCAGTTGCCATGGTGCTTTGTAGGAAGCACTGTGAGGACTGGCCTGTGGTTTATGGACATTCCCAAGGTATGGGGAAGACTCATTTGCAAGGGACTGAGTAATTCTGCTTCAGCAGGAGATCGGAGATGAGGAATGGCGATCGCTCACAGCCACCTCAGACAGCTACTGATGCTCCCATGGGAAGCTGTGACCCAGGAACCGAAGTGTTGTCCTGATAGCACCATTCCCCTTCCCCCTCATTCTGGTGCAGGTGGTCACAGTCTTCTTTAGATATGAGAGACCAGCCTCAGCAGAGGCTGGATTTTCCTTTCTCCTCTGGGGTATCTGTCTGCTCGGCCATGGTGTTCGAATTTGGAGAGTGAAATCTCCTTCCAATCTGGGGTCACGGGGAGAGGCTGCCCTCACACCCCAATAATTCACCTTCTGAACAAAAGTGGGTCAGGGGCCGTGTCAGCAGGGAACGTGCCTAGGGACTGAAGAGGATGAAATGAGGTTTGGGGGGCAGCCCTATGGCCCTGCACTGCCTTAAGGGGTGGGGGACCCTGACTGCATTCTCAGTGCCTCGACCCCTGTGTCTGACCATGTGCTCAGCTCCTGGTGGCAGATCCATCCTCCCTCAATATCGCCCCCCTTGGGCCAACTGAGAAACCGCCTTCACAAGCTCTGAAGGGAGACCCATCTAGTCCTACTGGACAGAAAAGGACGTTGGAATGGGAACGGGAGAAGGAATAATTGGAGGTGTGTGGAGGGGGCCCCACCAGCATTCCGAGAATATCACTGCTGTCCCCAACACACGTGACGGACGGGGGGGGGGGGTGTTAATCTGTTGACAGGGAAGGATTTGTGCTGCATTTGCCTTGGACCTTGGTCCCTGTCTTGGACCCTTGGCTCATCCTTCCAAAGCTGGACAATAGGCGAGGCTGATAACTGAGAGAGCATCTGCAGCTTATGCCTCCTCCCCTCCCCCAGCCAGCAAGTGGGGAAAACATCACCCACAGGCGGAAAGGGGCCTGCCAGTGGATTGCGAGATGTCCTCAGCATGACCTGGGGCAAGAGCTGACATGGGCTTGCTGCTGACACTCTCACTGCCCTAGTCGCCCTATTAGGTGGAGCACTGATAGGAGGGGAGGCAGTTGCTGGGGTTTCTTATGCTGTGCCTCCATGGATCTTGCCACAAAATCTCTAGTGAATGGTGCCTGCCACGCTGCTGGGAGGAAGGCTGGTCAGCCTGCAGCACTCATTCTCTGCTAAAGGCAGCTAGTCACTGTCTTTGTCTCCCTTTCCCTCTCTCTGTCCCCAAGACAAGAATCAATCCTAGGACCTGTTCACTAAACAAACGGGGCACTGTGTAATGAAGCAAGGAAATCCGTCCGCGGCTGGCAGTGTCCTTTGGGTCACTCCCTGACTGGTGCTGGCAGAGACAGTCATCGCAGTGGCTTAGCACAGCACTGAGGGGTGACGGTTCATGGGCGTTGCCTGCTTCCCTTTGGAAGGCTGAGATCAGGGCTTCATGGCCTGGAAATCCCTGAGCACCTGACAGTGAGCTCCCCAGCACAGGAGGCCAGGTCCTCAGCTAGTGTAAATCAGCAAACCTCCACTGCAGTCATTGTAGCTACAGAGAAACTGATTTTCAGCAGCTGGGGAACTGGCCATGAATTTGAAGAGAAAATGGGAGCAACGGTACTGCCCATCTGTGATGTGCACAGAGGATCCTCCCCACTGTGGTGTCCTTTGGGGGTGGGAGGGAGGGCTGCTAAACACGTCACATGGATTCAGGGGGTGGATGCAATTAGCCTGGGACCTTATTGTGAAACGGAGTTTCTTTGAAGGTGATCACCCTCATTACATCACAAGTGTCTGATGCCCATTTGCCCCCCCTGCCTCCACCCTCATGACTGGGTACATCTGAAAGCTGAGGGGTCTCTCACCCAACTGTGGACAGGAAGGAAGGGCTTAAAGCCCTGCCCGAGTTCAGCTGTACTCAAGACCCTAATCCTCCCCATTCGCTTCTCATGCAGGCCACACACGGGTGCTTCAGACCTGAGCTTCTTCCTGGTGATGCCAGTGCAGAGGATCACCAAGTACCCACTGCTGCTGCAGAAGATCCTGGAGAACACGTCAGCCAGGGACAAAGCCTACGCTGCCCTGCAGAGTGCAGCCAGCGCCATGCTCGAGATTAATGCCAACATCAACGAGTATAAGAGGCGCAAGGAAGTAGGTGAGGAGGAACTGGAATGTTAAAGGCCTTGTCAGAATGACGGAGGGTCTGTAAAACCCAAGATCAAACTGAAACGTCTTGACTCATTGTTATTCCATTGAAAACAGTTTTTAGTCTGGCTTTAACCTGCAGTGGAAGAACCCTTCCTTTCTCCCACCCTCTGTTTGTCTTGATTGTAAACACTTCCAACAGGGACAGTCTCTAGCAGCATCTAGCACAGTGGGGTCCTGATCTCAGTTATGCCCTCCGGGTACTTGAGTAATATTATTACTATGCTAATACTACTCATTGCAAAACAAACTGCCCTGTGTAGGGGATCCCTGAAGTGAAACTGACTAAAAACAATCATGAAACTGACCAATCTGTTGTCCCTCTCAGAGCTGAGAAAAGCAAAGAGGAAACAACCCTCCCCAATGGTACCAAATAAAAACAGGCTTTTAAAATACTTTCTGATTTCTTTTTCTAAATTATTTGTATTCAACCAAGCAATTCACCTTGATACATTGCAGTGGTACCTGGCGACACACACATTTCTCCAGCCGGTCACTTGTGCCAGCACTGAGTCATACCTTAAGTTCCCTCTAAGCTGCGTGGCCGTGCAGCTGCCTATTAAGCCCGACGCAGGGGTTCAGAGCTGCGGCGGGGAGAGGCGCCCCTCCCCACCAGCCCCAGCATGGACCTGCTGCAGCGGGGGGAGGCACATCTCTCCCCGGCCCCAGCACGGACCTGCCCCAGACTTGCCATGGCCGAGGGAGAGGAGCCCCTCCTTCAGGCCAGAGCCTACACCCCGAGCCAGAACCATCACCCCCAGACACACCCCAACCCTCTGCCCTGCCCTGATCCCCCTCCTTCACCCTGAACCCCTTGTACCTGGCCCCATCCCAGAGCCCGCACCCCCAGCCAGAGCCATCATACACACCCCTGGACCTCAACCCTCTGCCTCAGCCCTGAGCCCCCTCCCAGACATCACCTCTATATTCGTGCACATAACAAAATTAATTCCCCACATGGACCTAAAAAATTAGAGGAAACACTGCATACCCATAGTGGTTTGTACACATGAAACCACATTGGCCTTTCATGTCTGAATATTCTACTCTGGTAATGGTTTGAGTTGTCTTTCTTTTTCCACTAATCAGTCTGATTAGTCATGTTACATTTCCTACAATCCTTTCTTTGTGTTTTACTATTCTTATGCCTATTCCTACCTTATTTCTTATTATTATTTGTATCCCAGTAGCACCTGCAGGGACCAGGGCCCCATTGTGCTAGCTGCACAAACACAACTGCACAAACACTTAGCAAGAGACAGTCCCTGGCTGGAGAGCTTCTAGTCTAATTCAAATGAGAAGTGTGTGTCAAACTATAGGAGGCAAGGAGGAGGGTAAGAGTGTCCAGGGGAGAACTACAGGAAGGAATATAATGGAGTAAGCAGGTAGGTCATTTACAGCTTCAGTTATACTCTCTTCCCTTTATGAGGGGTCAGTGCTCTGCATTTGGGCCCCAAAGAACTGAATGAGATGTGATCCCCAGGAGGAACCCAGGCTCAGAGGTTCCTTGATCCCTCACCTGTTTATCTTCCTCCCCTTCTGTCCTGAGGCAGCAACCAAATACAGCAAGGTCGAGCAGCTGACGCTGCGGGAGCGCCTTGGCCGGCTCAACAAGCACTCCATTGCCAAGAAGACCATGCGGTTGAGCCGGCTCTTCATGCATGAAGCGGGCATTGTGCCCAAGGTGAGGCTCCTGCTCACATCCGGCTCCTAGTAACAATACAATGTGTATATGCTAGTGACATAGGTAGGAGGAAAACAGTTCAACCAAGGGCAGCAGGAGATGGGTGCCGCTTCCTGAAAGCACCTGTTTTTCACAGGTGGCCTTTCTGTGGCTTAACACTGGCCATCACGTGTATCTGCAAATGTGATGTGTGAAACATGGGTGAGCCACACTGAGGTCTTATCAACACTGAGGTCATGTGATCCATGCTGATCTCATGTGAGATACTTAAGTCCTCATGTGACCTACCTGTGGTCATTTATCCTAAATTTAAAGCCTGGCCTAGTGATCTGAGTTCAAGTATCAAATTCACTCTCTTGATCCCCTGGTGAGCAAAGTCTTGGAGCATTGTAGAGGCAGCTTGCTCAGCTCCTAAAGGTTTAGGAAGGGAAACAAATCCAGTGGGGTGGACCCTTCCTGCAGGCTGTGGCTAGTGCGTTCTCCCAAGTCCACTGAAGGCCTTTCTATGCCCAACCTCTATCCTGCATGCATCCCTACCACCAGGCAAGTACATTCTGGGCAAAGTTCTGGGCCTGTTGAAGCCATTGGCAAAGCTCCCAGAATTTCACCCTCTGTGTCCACCAAGAACTGTCTATATTCCAATCCATTTGGTGTTGCAATCCAGTCCATTCCACAAAACAGCAGGAGCACTTTGCCTGTTCAGACTAGTCAATGGACCGATTTCCTGTCCAGGAGCCCACAGTATATCTTCTTCCCATTGACTTTCAGACAGAGGACAAAGAATTTGACCGTCTGGAGGAAAAGTTTCAATTCCTGGCGTCTGGTGTGACTGAGCTGAAGGAGAACGTAACCTCTTACCTGAACAATTTGCAGGTAAAGCCCACTCATCCCATAATACCTGGGGTTGAGAGACCTACAGAGGCATCCTGGGCAAGCTCCTGTGGATGGCTCAAGCACCTTCAACTCCACCTGAAACCAATGAGAGCTGAGGGTGCTCGGCACCTGGCAGAATTGGGGCCGTATTTCTGATGGGTGAAATCCACCCCTGTGCAGAGGGCTCACAGAAGGTGCAGAGGGGTCATGTAAGGTCTGTGCATTGCTTAAGTCCCCAGACTGAGCTGCGATTGAAACAATGCCTGGGCCTTGTACTGATTCTCTGCCCAGAGGTGAAGTTCACCCCATGTGAGGAATAAATAAAATAATAACTGCACCATGTTTAGAAGACGCACGGTGCTATAAAAGGTCCCAGGGTTATTCAGGCTCTGAAATCCCCATGCTGCATGAGAAGGACTCTTTCCAACACTAAGGCTGACACATTGGGAACAAGGACATAGGGTGACACAGTGAGCTAGTGCCCTGGCTTTCCTCCTTTGAAGACCTGATCTGCTTGCTTCTCAGCCTTCCCACCAGATGGCATCTCTCTGTGGGAGATGGCCTGGGTATGGTGGCCTGCCTTTGTCTCTAGATGCAGTGTTGCCAGGTAGATCTTGACAAACTGCAGGGCGCTCCGAGAAGAGCATCCAAAAGGCCCAGGGGGCTGGAGGGATGGACTCGTAAAGAGCAATGAGAAGTGCTAAACAGGCTAGGCTAAGAGAAGAGGAGAAGGGGCCGAATAGCCCTTTATAAATACAGGAAGGGCTTAAAGCCCCATGAAACTCAGGAATTCTTTGGGGCTGGAACTGGGAGGAATGGGATGAAATTAAGGAAAGGAAACATATCCTGGGATGCCAGTGACATGCTAGTGTGCAGAATAGTCTCCCAAGGAAATGGTGGAAGCCCCATCCTGTGGGACTTTTGAAACTAGCCTGGAAAAAGACCTGGAGAACAATCCTGCCTTGGCCCCAGGGTGCTGAGCTGGATGCCCTGAAAGGTCTTTACCATCGCTACCGTTTTCACACCACGGCACCAGGAGTCAGGGAATAGGGCTGAGCACCCAGGACAATAAACTCAGTGGTCTGGCTGGGCAGGGCTGTGATCAGACACAGCCTTTAGAAGTGCCTGAGGAAAGGAGTGTGTCCCATCCCTGCCCGAGGGAAATCCTCTGGTAAATATTAATAAATATTTGAGATGATGTGATCTCCCGCACAGAAATGACCTGATCTCCTAATGCACCATTTGGCAGGTTGGCAGCTCCTTAATCCCTCCAGTCTGATCCTCCTTATTCATCTGCACATGCCGTCCCTCAGCCACCAGCAGACAGCCAAATCACTATTTATAAAAAACCCAGACCCCAGTGCGGCTCAGAGGTCTCAGACACAACAGCCACCTCAGTGGTGGAGGGGCCAAAGATACCTCCCCCCATCATCTTCGCTGCTTCTGGTTCCCACCTTTTCAGTAGCAATGAGGGCCTGAAAAGGGAGCTGCATTCCCTGGGACACGACCTCCTCCTCCTCTGGTGGAGGGTGGGGGAGAGCAGGAGTGCACCTGGGACAGAGGAGTCATTAGCTCAGTCTGAGCCAAGAAAGCACCTTCTGCCAGTACTCCAAGGCAGCCCAGGCTGGTGGGAACGGCACATGGAAGCCCCTCTTGAGTGGCCTGGCAACTATTCCTCTGAAGAGGAAGAAAACCCATCCAGCTGTGAGAGCAGGGAGTTCGGCCCCTCAGCAGCTGCCCTCAGGCAGGGATCCTTACGGCTGAGTGGGTGGTGCTCCCATCTCTGGGCCAGAGCATTATGGGTTGGATTCTCCCCTCTGGACTGAATGCTGCCGTTGAAGGGCAGCAGTGGGCCACTGCACTGAGAGAGATGCTGCCCATGAGAGGAAAGGTCGAACCAAAGCCTCTAGGAGCTCAGGCTGTCCCTCTAGGAGACCTGGGACATCTGTTTTGCCAGCTCCTCTCCCTTTGCATGAGTCCCCCAGTCACGGCCTCCCTGGCAGAGAGTGTCAGCTAAGTCCTCTGTGCAGCATGAGTGTTCATGTTAGCCACGCTGCCTGAGCTCCAAACACTACATGCCAGGGAGTACGAAAGCAGCCCCAATCATACTGCTCCAGGGGAGAGTGCAGCAGCCCTGGAAACTTGACAACAAGATCTCAAACCAAGTGGAGGTTTGGGTTTCTGCAGGGTTTCTTGTGGTCACTGGGCTGCGGGCACCTGTTTGTTACTGTAGGGTGGCTCTTGCCACGTGGTTTGTGCACCCTGACCTGGGGGTCATTCCTGAGCATTGCATGCACAAACTGGTTTGCTACCAGAGAGCTGCTTGGAACACTGGTCTACAAACACTGCTTTGGTATTTTAGGATAACTTGGAAATGCCAGGCTGAATCCATTGGTTTGTTATTTTAGGTAGCTTGGGAGAATCAGCCTGAGTGCACTGGTTGGATACTGTAGAATGCAGGACAGCTGCTGTAGTTTTTATTCTCAAAGAAAAGAGGACAGGAGCTTTGGGTGGAAGAGATAACAAGTGCCTGGAGTTTACAGAGGGCTGTAGGAAAAGGAGTAGGTCCCATTCTGAACCTGCCTTCAGGGAAGGCTGACACTGCCCTGGGCATCTCCCAGGTTTTAACACACATGGACAATTCTAGGGTTCTCAGCCCCTTTTCCCCCCTCTCTCCCAGGTCTTCCTCCTTTCCAAACCACAGGAGTGCGAGCTGGAAATGGAAGGAGCTGCCCAGCAGTATCGCCGCCTGGCGGGAACACTCTGTCGCACCATCTTCCCGGAGTTTGTGAGTGCCACCTCACTTACATCTATGTGGACAGGGAGCCTAGCGCTGGCCCTGCAGGTCCCACCCCAGGGCTGTTCTCATTAGCTTACAGCAGGCAGTGAGGGCAGGACTGCATCAGAAGAGAGGACTGTGGGAAAGGCAACTACACTGGCTATTTGACTTGCCTCCTGAACGGTACTCCATAGGGAGCTCCATCATGTGCCTCAGCCCCAGCCCTCCCACCACTCCTAGGGGTTCTCTGACTCCTCCCCGCAGTCAGAACTTGGGCACCTCACTCAACTATATGTTCCCCCACCCCTCTAGCACCCTGCCTGTTTCATTCCACGATGGCTGCTTATCGCCTGGGGACTCAACACCCTCTGAAGTCTGCTCTCTGTCTTGTGCCCCACGCTGCTCACTGCTGCAGTTTCACTGGCTCAGAATGAGGTGGGTGGGTGGCTCTTAGTGTCCGAATAAACATCCAGGGAAGGATGCCTGTTGTGTCTGGCTACCGGTGGAGAGGTGCCTGAGAAGATACAAACCATGTGTGGAGTCTGGTGGGATCATAATGGGAGCTTCCTGGGGTCTGTCGGCAGAAGGCCTCCTTGGTGAGTCCAGTGGAAGCTTCCCTTACGTCAAGTCAGTAGGAGCCAGAAGTTGCTCTCTGCAGACATGACAATTCCCTTCTCTCATGGCTGCCAGCCACGCAGGAGAGTTGGGCGCTAATGCTCTCCTCTGTGACAGGCCTGGAGAGCCTGGAGTTCAAGGGTCCCCCATGCTGTTTCTGATGTTCAGGCTGGAGCACTGTGCTGCACGGCTGGCAGATCTGGGGACATCAGGATTTCACTGGGGTGCTTCTGGGTTCTCTCCAACAGAGGAGTCAGCTGGACCGGCTGGTCTACCAGCCACTCTGCAGCCTGTCAGAGACTCTGAAGGGACCGCAGCAGCTGATCAGGAAGCGCCTGGACAAGCTGCTGGACTATGAGGAGATCGAGGAGAAGAAGTGTGAGATGGGCAACGTGACCTACAATGAGGAGGCCACCATGAACACCTACCTTGCCATCAACTCCCTACTGGTGTCCGAGCTCCCCACCTTCAACCAGGTGGCCATGCAGTGGCTGGGGCAGATACTGCGCTCACTTGTGGCCCTTCAGAGGGACTTGGCAAAGCAGGTGCTCCAAGAGGCTGAAATAGAGCTGGCCCAGGTAACGGAGACCCATGGGTGTGTACTGAGCTAGCATGAGCTAGAAGCTCTTGTGCCTGGCCTCAGCTGACAGCCACACACCACTAAGACCCACAGGCACGGGGTTGGGGGGAGCACCAGGAGAGGTTTCTGCCTGGGTAGCAGCAGGCTGCTTTCCTCCCACCCTGACTCTCCACAGGCAGATGCACCGAGCTCTCCCCGCAGGCTGCACTTTTATTTGCACGTGTCTATTTCCCTTCTTCTTTGGGTGGGCTGGAGTGGCTTCTCCTAGACTGCTACGGGTGGCCCTACCCCCTCTTGGGGAGTTCCCCATGGTGGCTGAGGGTTACTATTAATATTTGAATTGTGCTAGTGCCGAGGGTCCCCGTTGTAGACCTGGACCCCACTGCACTAGGTGCTGTACAGATGCAGAACAAGACGAGAGTTCCTGCCCTGAGGAGATAGCCTGATCAAGCCAGAATATTCGCGATCTCCTAGGAGCCCTCCTCTAAGTCCTGACAGTATCACTGACCATTGTACACATGGGGAGGAGCTATGATTCAAAGTCAGACAGGAGCATCTTGTGTTGATGAGGGGGACCTGAGAGATTGTTCCGGTTTCTTGAAATGTAGAAACTCTTGTTCTCTTTGGGTTTCTGATTCCCTTTCCTTCTGTTTCTCCTCTTCCTGAGACCCTTCCCATGGATTTCTGTCTGCACAGCCCTTCTCCCTTGCGATCTCTAATTCCAGTGTGTCTTTCTACAGCTACCGCATAGCCACATCCCTCTACCTACTTTCTGGAAGATGGTGAAGGACACTTTAAGCCAGTCTGGTGCTCAGCTTAACTCCTTCTGCCAGAAATTTGAGACGGTCATGCCGAGCCCTGTGGTACAGGTAGGAGCAGGGAGGAGCCAGGCACCTCCTCCCATCAGATGGCTGAGAAGACAGGAAAAAGAATGAGGAGTACTTGTGGCACCTTAGAGACTAACAAATTTATTTGGGCATAAGCTTTCGTGGGCTAAAAACCCACTTCATCAGATGCATGCAGTGGAAAATACAGTAGGAAGATATATATACACAGAGAACATGAAAAAATGGGGGTTGCCATACCAACTCTAACGAGACTAATCAATTAAGGTGGGCTATTATCAGCAGGGAAAAAAAACTTTTATAGTGATAATCAGGATGGCCCATTTCAAACCCATTAGTTGACAAGAAGGTGTGTGTAACAGTAGGGGAAAAATTAGCATGGGGAAATAGTTTTTAGTTTGTATAATTACTCATCCGCTCCCAGTCTTTATTCAAGCCTAATTTAATAGTGTCCAGTTTGCAAATTAATTCCAGTTCTGCAGTTTCTCGTTGGAGTCTGTTTTTGAAGTTTTTTTGTTGAAGAATTGCGACTCTTAGGTCTGTAATTGAGTGTTGAAGGAGGTTGAAGTGTTCTCTGACTGGTTTTTGAATGTCATAATTCTTGACGTCTGATTTGTGTCCATTTATTCTTTTGCGTAGAGACTGTCCAGTTTGGCCAATGTACATGGCAGAAGGGCATTGCTGGCACATGATGGCATATATCACATTGGTAGATGTGCAGGTGAACGAGCCTCTGATGGTGTAGCTGATGAGATGAGGTCCTATGATGGTGTCCCTTGAATAGATATGTGGACAGAGCTGGCAACGGGCTTTGTTGCAAGGACAGGTTCCTGGGTTAGTGTTTTTGTTATGTGGTGTGTGGTTGCTGGTGAGTATTTGCTTCAGGTTGGGGGGCTGTCTGTAAGCGAGGACTGGCCTGTCTCCCAAGATCTATGAGAGTGATGGGTCGTCCTTCAGGGTAGGTTCTCGATCCTTGATGATGCGCTGGAGAGGTTTTAGTTGGGGGCTGAGGGTGACGGCTAGTGGCTTTCTATTACTTTCTTTGTTGGGCCTGTCCTGTTGTGGGTGACTTCTGGGTACTCTTCTGGCTCTGTCAATCTGTTTCTTCACTTCAGCAGGTGGGTATTGTAGTTGTAAGAACGCTTGATAGAGATCTTGTAGGTGTTTGTCTCTGTCTGACAGATTGGAGCAAATGCAGTTGTATCTTAGAGCTTGGCTGTAGACAATGGATCGTGTGATGTGGTGTGGATGAAAGCTGGAGGCATGTGAGTGAGTATAGCGGTCAGTAGGTTTCCGGCATAGGGTGGTGTTTATGTGACCATTGCTTATTAGCACTGTAGTGTCCAGGAAGTGGATCTCTTATGTGGAGTGGTCCATGCTGAGGTTGGTGATGGGATGGAAATTGTTGAAATCATGGTGGAATTCCTCAAGCGCTTCTTTTCCATGGGTCCAGATGATGAAGATGTCATCAATGTAGCGCAAGTAGAGTAGGGGCGTTAGGGGACAAGAGCTGAGGAAGTGTTGTTCTAAGTCAGACATAAAAATGTTGGCATACTATGGGGCCATGTGGGTACCCATAGGAGTGCCGCTGACTTGAAGGTATACATTGTCCCCAAATGTGAAATAGTTATGGGTGAGGACAAAGTTACAAAGTTCAGCCACCAGGTTTGCCGTGACATTATCGGGGACAATGTTCCTGACAGCTTGTAGTCTATCTTTGTGTGGAATGTTGGTGTAGAGGGCTTCTACATCCACAGTAGCCAGGATGGTGTTTTCTGGAAGATCATAGATTCTCAGTATTTCACAAATGAAGGAGAACATCCCATTGGGAAGCAAGTGGGGTTGGGGACAGCCAATGGCAATGCCGAGAACTTTGCAGCAGCCATGCTACTGGTTTTGACTCCTTGACAATGGTTGGCTGGTAATTGTGGTGAGCCAGGGAATCCTCCACATCAGGTTACAATGGCCTAGGGTGGATCCCTTAGCTCTGGAGACCCAGCTTCATACCCTGAAGCTGATCAGATGTTTTACTGCAACTGACTGGAGTCCCTACCCTGGCTGACACTGATCATGACATAACCCCCAGTAATCCAGAAAGTAAACACACTCTGAGGGTAAGATCTCATAGTAGGGAACATTTTCTGACTCCGTTCTCCCTGTGTCTTACTCCCCATTAGCCTCTTAGCCCTGCTGAGGAGCACAGGGTCCTTTCACTTGTCAACAAACATGGCCCAGACAAGCTCTACCAGCTGACAAGCAACATCAGTGGCAGCAAAGATCTGGACCTGACCCTGCAGAGGGGACAGATAGTGGCTCTCCTGCACGAAATGGACACCAAAGGCAACACTAACAGATGGCTAGTGGATGCTGGAGGTACTTGCAAGGACTACAGGAACCTTCTCTTTTTCCCTGACACTAAAGGTTCCTCAAACCAGCGTAAAAAACAGAAGGGAGAACTATGTTCTGACAAAGTAAAGTGCTCTGGGTTGGTGAACTGTCCCAAGGGAGCCTTCCATCTGGGAATTTCTGGGGAAGCAGAGACTGCTCGGCTCTAGGGCTGTATCTCTTTTCTCTCTGGAGCAACCTTACTGAGATCCATTCTCCTTGACTGCTCACTTGTGGGTGGAATACATCAGAGCTTTGCTGGTGGAACTCACAGGACAGAGCTCGATGCACTGAGAGAACAGAAGGTTGTGAATTCTGTTCCACGTGTGTATTTTGGAGATAGGCCTGAAGCAGAACCATTTATCTCAACCAGCCTGAACTTCCTGGAATTGGATGAAACAGGAGCTAGATGTGACCCTCCCCTGGTTTTGCCAAACCCAGATCCACCCCCATTTTTGCCCAGTTCTAATATGTCTGTAGCCACAGGCCATTACACATAGTGCTCAGGTTTTGCCACATTGATTCCCCAGGGAGCATTAGTGATGTGCCGCAGCCTGGTCCCCTGTGCTCAGCAAGATCTCAGAATCCCTTTGTGGTGCTTCACGGTGGGGCCAGTCAGCCAGATAGCAGAGAGGTGCAGCAGCAGAGCTGTGCAGCCTTGCACTATGCCAGGGTGTTGCCAGAGTCATCCCTTCCTTCTTCCCCTATGCTTGAATCCATCCACAAAAGAAGAACAGGTAACTGGTGCCCAGCCTGACTGAGTCTGTGTGTCTTACAGGTCACCGAGGCTATGTCCTGGCTGGAAAACTCCAACCATATCATCTGGTCCAAAGTCAAAAGCCCAGGATGCAGATGCTGGCCCCGGACGCTGGAGCTGAGAGAAGACGACACTCTTACACCTTACCCGAAACACCCAGGCCACAGGTCCTCATCACCCCTCCGGCTTTCCAGGTGGGTGTGGAGACACCTGCAGGCACCTACGTTTGTTCAGTCATTACACTCACCTCTGTGCGTATAGCTGCCCTGGGCACATCCAGTACCTGCACACATATACAGCACAGGAGTGGGGGAAGCACTTACAGCCAAACTCACAACATGCGCATGTGTATACTCAGGACATACTTGGCCATGTCTGTAACCACTTCTAGGGAAGCTGTGAACGGACAGCACAGACTGGATCCGTGGCCCATCCAGTTTGGTATTTCCTCTCTAACATTAACCAGTGCCTAACCAGTGCAGAAGAAAGGGACTTCCTCCATGTGCAATTGACTATTGTACAATGTTCTAGCTAGAGGAAAAGGCCTCCCTGACCCCTGCAATGATCAGAAGATGCTCAGAAAAGATGAGGTTTGATTAACCCTCTGCACAGACAACTGTAAATGTCCTTTTGGCTTGTAACATTACACTGTCCCTTTGTAAATCCTGGGTGCAACATTTAACTCTGACGGTCTCATCACTCAGAGAGTGTGGCCCAGGGCAGTCATGGCTTAAATGACAGTAACTAACTCCTTGAATTCCTCTCAAAAGCAAACAGGTAGCCAGTGCTTCTGAAAATCCACACCCATGCACACCTCTCTGAATTGATAAGGCCTAAATGAGTGGGATTCTTCCATTCATCTTCACTTTAGCCCCCATGTCCTGCTCCCCTTTGGATCTTCTTTCCAATGAGGGTTTTCTGTACCATCTCCTTGCCTTTTCCAGGTGGTTGCAGGTTATGCATTCACAGCCAGGAGCCCCCATGAGGTCAGTCTGCAGGCAGGGCAGCTGCTGACGGTGCTGGAACCTCACGATAAGAAGGGAAGCAAGGAGTGGAGCCTGGTGGAAGTCAATGGACAGCGGGGCTACGTACCTTCCAGTTACCTGATGATGGTCCCCACCCAGGAGCTGGGGGGTTGGAGCTTGCCTGCTTGGTCTCTACCAACTCAGCAAACATAGTTGCAGAAACAATGTTCAGGAATGAGTGATTCACTCCCCTACCCACCCCTCTCCCCAAAGAGGCTTGGCACATGCAGTGAGTAAAGCTGGAGAATGAGCTGGCAAAGAAATGAAGAGGCCCCACTGGACTGAGAACGGGAAGGACAAAAACTACTGACATAGAATTTTGCACAGGAAACTTTGTGTGCGGGAAAGTGTGTGTGTGTGTTAGTCTGAGGGTGCCTTTTGTGTTGTCATGGAGGAGGGCATGAAGGTGTGAGGGTGTGTTTGTGTCTGCACCATCTGAGCCATTAGCAATTCTCTTTGAAAAGTCATGGAAGATGGGAGAGATTCCAGAGGACTGGAAAAGGGCAAATATGGTGCCAATCTATAAAAAGGGACATAAGGACAACCCAGTGAATTACAGACCAGTGAGCTTAACTTCAGTACCTGGAAAGATAATGGAGCAAATAATTAAGCAATCAATTTGCAAACACCTAGAAGCTAATAAGCTGATAAGTAACAGCCAGCATGGATTTGTCAAGAACAAATTGTGTCAAACCAACCTAATAGCTTTCTTTGACAGGGTAACAAGCCTTTTAGATGGGGATGAGCAGTAGATGTGGTATATCTTGACTTTAATAAGGCTTGTGATACTGTCTTGCATGATCTGCTCATAAACAAACCAGGGAACTACAACCTAAATAGAGCTAGTATAAGGTAGGCGCATAACTAGTTGGAAAATGGTTCCCAGAGCGTAGTTATGAGTGGTTCACAGTCATGCTGGAAGGACATAATGAGTGGGGTCCTGCAGGGATCAGTTCTGGGTCTGGTTCTGTTCAATATCTTCATCAGTGATTTAGATAATTGCACAGAGAGTGCACTCATAAAGTTTGCAGACGATACCAAGCTGGGATTGCAAGGGGTTGCAAGTGCTTTGGAGGGTAGGATTATAATTCAAAATGATCTGGACAAACTGGAGAAATGGTCTGAAGTTAATAGGATGAAATTCAATAAGGACAAATGCAAAGTACTCCACTTAGGAAGGAACAATCAGTTGCACGCATACAAAATGGGAGATGACTGCCTAGGAAGGAGTGCAGTGGAAAGTGATCTGGGGGTCATAGTGGGCCACAAGCTAAATATGAGTCAACAGTGTAACACTGTTGCAAAAGAAGCAAACATCATTCAGGGATGTATTAGCAGGAGTGTTGTAAGCAAGACACGAGAAGTAATTCTTCCACTCTACTCCGCGCTAATTAGGCCTCAACTGGAGTACTGTGTCCAGCTCTGGTGCCACATTTCAGGAAAGATGTGGATAAATTGGAGAAAGTCCAGAGAAGAGCAACAAGAATGATTAAAGGTCTAGAAAACATGACCTATGAGGAAAGATTGAAAAAATTGGGTTTGTTTAGGCTAGAGAAGAGAAGACTGAGAGGGGACAGGATAATAGTTTCCAAGTATGTAAAAGTTGTTACAAGGAGGTAGGAGAAAAATTGTTCTCCTTAACCTCTGAGGATAGGACAAGAAGCAATGGGCTTAAATTGCAGCAAGGGTGGCTTAGGTTGGGCATTAGGAAAAACTCCTTAACTGTCAGGGTGGTTAAGCACTGGAATAAATTGCCTAGAGAGGTTGTGGAATCCCAATCATTGGAGTTTTTTTAAGAGCAGGTTAGACAAACATCTGTCAGGGATGTTTTTGATAATACTTAGTCCTGCCTTGAGTGCAGAGGACTGGACTAGATGACCTCTCAAGGTCCCTTCCAGTTCTATGATTCTGTGCTTTATTAGAAGCCAGGAAGGGCTGTGGGTGCATGTTGTGTCCCTTTGCTGTGATTCACTGGAGTTAATAATATTGAGAAGAATGTTCCATTCAGCAGGGAGAAAGAACCCAGCCGGAATCTAAAGGAGATCCAATGTTGACCTCCCCTGACAAAGGGAGACCTCCAGACTGAAACGGACAGCTGTTTGGTGGCCTCTTTGAAATGTATCTGGGACATGAGGACATGACTAGCAAACACGTGTTCACATCCTGAAAGCACCCATCACAACTGGCAAGGACTGGTGCTCTTACTAGCCATCTCAGCAGAGAGGCCAAGGATCAAATGAGCCCTGGAGACTTAGGGGAAGTCTGCTCAGCTGCTGCCCTTGCTGCCCATTCAGTCTCATGGGCTCAAAGTCCAGCACCTTTGACTCACACTAAATCCACTTTAAATAAAAAAGACATGGCAATGGCTGCTATGTTTTAAAAGAGCATTCAAATTAGCAGTGTGGCCTAGTGCATAGAATGCTGGAATGGAACTCAGGAGATCTTGGTTCCATTCCCACCTCTGCCACTGCCCTAATGGGTGACCTTGGGCAAGTCACTTCCCCTCCCCTTGTCTCAGTTTGCTCAAATGACCTCCTTTGAGATGTACTGAAGAAAAGCTAACAATGACTACTAATACTATTTAATACTGAATATTATTCTGACATGTCATAGATACATAAAGCTACATACATACAACAAACTTTCTTGATACTTGGGGATAAGCTACCAAATGCTTCACTCATGCACTGTACTTGGGGGGGAAATACTACTGAGCTGCTAAGTGATAGTTACTGTGGGTGAAGGGGGAACCATCATTCTTTGCACTCCAGCAGTGGGTAGGGCGGGCATGTGGGCAATGGCAGTGCTAACATGGCACAGACACCCCCGACACATCACCTCCACGTCGCCATGACAGGACTCAATTGCCTGGGATTCTTGAGCTGGAGGGCAGCACAGCTGTACTGATGGGGATGTTTCAGACTGTTCGTACATTATCATCACAAGGGCTGGAGTACTGGAAGCATGCAGGGTAAGAAATGCTCATGCCATGGTCAGAAAGGGCTGTGAGGCTCTTGCTCTCTGTGGCTGGTGACAGGAATTCTTTAGTGGCCTGCGACACATCTGTGGTACAGAGGTCCCCGTGCACCCTGTGTCCCACTGCGTATTCATAGTGTGGCCACTAGATGGCACAGCTGAGCCATCCGGCTGCTGAATTCCCGGATCTGCCTCAGCTCTGAAAGAGCAGAGCCTCCAGAGCAAACGTTTGGCTTGAGAAGTCAGTGGGGACGGACAGCAGTTTGTAGAGGAGGCTCTGCCATCCCATGTCCCACTGCCTGCGAGGCTTGGTGTTCCACTGCGATACTGCGTGCTAAGCCACGGCAGGTCTGGTTGGTGCTTGGATGGGAAACACAGAAAGGGGCCCTAAGGGACTCAGTTCTCAAGCAGAATTCTGTTGTGGTGGCAGGGCATGGTGCTGCAACCTTTCCCTTGCATTGTGAAGCTGAGGGCCTGACAGATCCCAGGGCACTCGGGACTGATCTTAGATCAGACTCAGGGTCCTTTCCGTTATTGTTCAAGCTCTAAAATTGGCTTGGCAGCCAAATTGCACTGAAGGTGGTTACGACAGCTTCCCTGCCAGTTCTACTGAGTAAAGGCTTGGTCTTCACTCCTTGTGCCAAGCTGTTGTGTAGAGCTCCTGGGCCCTGTTAAAGAGCTGCCAGGCCCTACCCCAGAGGTGGCTGCATTTCACAGGTGGGCGAATGGATCTCCGTGTCTCCTTATAAATAGGAGATATGACTAATTCCATCTGTGTGGCTCATGCCCAGCACTGGCAGAAGCAGGCAGTGCGTGGGGGAAGGGAGTCTTTTGTGTCACTTGATGGTGGCCTGCTCCAGCTAACATGGCTACACTGGAAGCTTCAAAGCACTGTTGCGGGAACACTCCCGCAGCAGCGCTTTGAAGCGCGAGTGTGGTTGTGTGCAAGCGTTGGGAGAGAGCTCTTCCAGTGCTCCTGGTATTCCACCTCCATGAGGGGATTAGCTCCGAGCGCTGGGAGCCCGGGTCCCAGTGCTCGGAGCCTGTCTACACTAGCACTTTAAAGCGCTCAGACTTGCTGCACTTGCTTGTGATTTTTCACCCCCCTGAGCCAGCAAGTTAGAGCGCTATAACATGTAAGTGTAGACAAGCCCAGAGTAGTGGTGCTGACTGGCTCCAAAGGCAAGAACCAGCAGGTTCTCCACAACTGGAAGCATGCTGCCCTTAAAGGTAGGATGTGTGGAAGCAATAGGCCTGCAAGCCTCCAAGAGAAGACATCCCTGTTCTTCACCCTTGGAGGGGAAGAGCTATTTAGAAACAACACAATTGCCTGTAGCAGCAGCATCTCCAGCCCAAAGAAATGGTCGTGGAAAAGAGAGATGGGGATTGTGAGGAGCAGTGGCTACCATAGAGTGCTCCTGAGGGACAGGCTCCAAATGGACCATGAGGCCTAGGTGGGACCTACAGAGAAAGATGTGGTCTGAGCACAGACCTGGGAGCCAGCGCTCCTGAGTTCTAATCCTGGTTCTGACACTCCTCCCTCAGCAGCCTCATGCCATCCCCTCAGTGTACCTAGCTGGGGAGGCTTTGAGGAGTAACTGGGGAATATTTGTAACATTCTGTGCAGGCATGAAGGGTTATGAGGCACCAGGCTGGCTTACAACTATGCCAGGCCCACTGCCCCACACAGCAGGATGGGCACGGCCTTGGGAAGCAAAGCTGAACAATGCAGCAGAGAGATGAACCAGCCTTGGGGGAGGGGAGGAGAAGGGATGGTCTGTGGGGCACTACTGGAGCGAGACTCCAGGCACTCAGAACATGCTGTTTCTATTTAAAAATGCTGGGCTGGAAAAATCGATCCCAAGTTATATATTATAAATGCTGAAAGCCTCGGCTTTCAGCCTGTTGGGCATGAAAATAGGCCGAGGTCCTCCTCTCAAGCCCCTGCAAAGCAAATAAAATGCTCAGCCCATGCAAACTTCTCTCCTCTTGCTACCAGCCAGCCTGATGCTCCAGGGCCCTACGCAAGGAAGAGGAAGGCTGAACTGTGTCTGGGTGAGGCTGCAGCCTGCAGACGTGGCTGGCCTGCCTGCAGGGCAAGCATGTGTTTTGTGCAGCGGTCTATCAACACAGGCAGCCAATGTATGCCAGCCGTGGGTGGGCGCCGCAGGTGTGTGTGTGCACCCTACAGGTATGTTCATAATTCTGGGGTTCTTTGAGATGCTGGCTGCAGGGCACAGAGCAGATGACACCCATGCACCCGCCAGCTGCAGCCACGGCACCCGGGGGAAAGCAGTACAGCTGATGGCTGTGAGACCGCTCCGGGTACCTGACTGCTAATGCAGATGTCCACTCTGACAAAGGCATGCTCAATATCCAGTTCAGCCCAGTGACAAGCTAGATGAATGCCGCCAAAGCATGAGACCAAAAGCTCAGACGTGTCCGAGGTACGTGACATCCAGACACCTCAGCCCAGGATGGGGCTGCACAGGGGGTATGTGGTTCAGTCCCTTATGTCCATTTGTTGCTAGTGTCCACCCCTTACACACACACACATCATATTCAGAGGGTTTACAGTAAAGTGGTATTTTATACATCTATATTTATTTTGATGGATAAAACATAAGCCCCTCTATCTGCGCTCAGGCTGGGCGGGTGGTGTCTATGTGGTGGGCACTCCTGCAGCTTCAAGGCACAGGATCCAGGTGGACAGTAGGTTGCCACAGTGTGCTCCTCCTCAGCAAAGGGCATGCCTGTCACCTATCTCAAATGATCACTTCTGGCCAACTCAGCAACATGGCCGACGGATGTGATTTGCGCAAGGCAGCAGCCCTGGAGCCTGAAGGCCTCTATGATCCCAAGAACAGGTACAGGCTGGACTACAGCAGGGCAAGATTCCCCCGCTCAGGCCTGCAGTAATGTGTCGAAAGGGAACTCCTCCAGGGCTGAGGGTGCAGCTCACTCGCCATGGCCTGTTTGACCCACAGCTGCTCTGCTGAGTCTGCCAGCAGAGGCCAGTCAGTGCCAGATGCTGGAGCCAGGGGATTGGAGGTCTAGCCCTGCAGAGCTCAGTGGCTCAGTAGGGGGCAGTGTCGTGCCCATGGGAGGCCCTGGATTTGTTAACGGATTCCCATGAGGCTATGTGTGCACTACAGTACCTGAGCTGGTATAGCTTCGCTGGCCTAGCCCCCTAATGTAAGCACGGTGCACTGGGGCCCCCAGTTCCCTGAACGCCATTAACTGTGCTGACAGACACCCTCTTCCAGGGTGCAGCTATACTGAGGGTTTAGGCTGTGCAGCTATACTGAGGGTTTAGGCTGTGCAGCTATGTTGCCGTGAGCAGCAGACGCAGCTAGGCCGGTACAAGTTTTAGGTGGAGCCCAAGCCTTAGGCCTGCTACTATTTCTGCTAACTGGCAGGAAGGCAAACACACAGGGAACAAACAGGAATGACTGCCCAGCAGGCAATGATTTGGTATGTCTTGTGTGGTGTCTTACACAGCAAGCCTAAGCCATCCACTGGGCTGGGCCTTGCCTGAAGCATCATGACTAGCTGGTAGGCTCTCCTGGGAGAGCCCAATGGGATGCTGCTGCACAGGAACTATGGGACTGCTTCAGAGGGGAATCCCGAAACTTGGTGAGATGGGGTGCTGTCAGATCTGTTACAGCCCCCTTGCATAGGGGGAAAAGGGGTTCACCCAGCAAAGCCAGTCGCTGACTCACATTGCAATGGGACCAGTAACAAAGCTGCTGATCTCCTCCAGCTTCTGCAGCAGAGCAAGAAGCTAGCAGAAGTTAGCACTTTGCAGGGCCCTGGCCTCTGCTTCTCATCACTCAGCACATTCGCAGGAAGGTTGTGCTGTTTATACAGAGTGTGAGGAGGGTAGCCCTGGCAGGACCATGTTTCCTTCCCCTGTCCATGAGATATAAAGCCAGACTCCTGACCATTTCCCATCAAAGCCTCTGTGGCACTTTTGGCAAGATTATGCATGCTGGCTCTGGTGTCCCAGTCAATCCCAATCTGGGCTGGAGTATATCCTGCCTACCACAAGCTCCCCTGGCATCTCATTTTGGAGCGATAGTCTCCTTCACTTCCTGCCCTGACTGTCTGTGTAGCATTGCTGCCCACTGATACATTTATACAAATAGGATGACCACACTGAGTCGATTATAAGCTTTGTAATGATACCTTCCAAGAGACCTTTTGCGTGAAACATATTCCAGTTACATTATATTCATCCTCATTAGCATATTTTCATAAAATCATATGGAGTGCAACGTCACACCCTCCTCCTGAATGTACTGCCAGAGATTTGGACACTGTCCATGGCAGAGGCAGTACACCTAAAATTCCTCTTTGGGCTCCCCTCCGGGGCAGACACTCCTATGTCCCCCAAAAGGGAAGGTGACCCTGATCCAGCTGTGGGCTCACAGCTACCAGCTATGACAGACTTTTCACTGGCAAGAGCAGTTGCTTTTCACTCCAGAGATGGCTGCATTCCAGGGATGGGTGAAGCACTGTCACCAGAGTCTGTACTGTATTTACAGAGACAGTGAGTAGATCCCTTTAGGCATGGCCGGAAGGGAAGGGGAAGAATCCAGTCTGCAGTTAGAGTCCTATTAACATCTGTATACACAACTGGAATCATCATTCCCTCAGCAGGAG